GTGTGTGTGTGTGTGTGTGTGTGTGTGTGTGTGTGTGTGTGTGTGTGCAGATTGCAAAACTGCACGACCCTGCAAAGCAGCAGCACTCTCTCTCTCCTACACACACACACACAGAGACCGCGTACCCGCGGCAAGAGAGGAAACGTCGGCTGGAGGCAGAACTGCAACTGCGACCTTCTGCCTTTCGTTTTCTTTGCTTTTCTTTTTTTAAGCACGGCGAGGGGCGCGAGAAGAAATCCTTAAAACTGTGGCGGGGACCACCAGGTCCCACCGCCGGCAGCCCTCCAAACTCGCTTCCTCGGTTTCTCCCAACCGGGATATGGGAAGAAAAAAAAGAAGAAGAAGCCAGGCGACTGCTATACGCGACTCCGGATCTAAAGCACAGTTAAAGCATTGCTCGCTCGCTCGCTCGCTCTCCCCCTCCCCCTCACCCCAGCCTTTCCCCGCCAGTCTTGATCGACAACAAGGAAAGACGTCTTACCTCTCAACATTTTTTCAGAGGCAACCATCAGATCTCGGACGGGTCGACCAAGGCATTTTGGGAGGGGGGTAATTCGGGAAAGGGTGACCCTCCCAAACCTTGTTTTTGTTTTGTTTTGTTTTATAAGGGAGGGGGAAAAAGCATAAACAAATAGAACCAAAACAAGCACTGGGGGGGAAAAGGTGGGGGAAGGGAGAGAAAAGGGGAGGGGGGAAAAGATGGGACGCGCCACTCGCCTTGTCACAGCGGCATTCTCGTCGCCCTAAAACCTCCGGCAGCTGCAGTGCAAAAAAGACTGTCGCCGACGGCTGTGCAGGGCACGCTCTTATCTGAAGCGCCGAGTTTCCGCTGCTGCCTGCGCCGCCCCTCCCCCATCCAGCGAGCTCTTACCAGGAAGCAACTGGGCGTACTACTGCAAGAATGCAAAAGGGAGGAAGGAAGGAAGGGAGGGAGAGAGGGAGGGAGGGAAATATAAAATAAAATAAAATTACACGATATACATAATACGCGAGGTTAGGCGGGGGCGCGCAGAGAGCCCAGCGCGCCCAGTCGCGCGCGCATATCGTCTGCCGCGCGGGCTGCTTCCCCCTTTGGTGTCTGGGTCTCTGTGTGTGTGTGCGTGTGCGTGTGCTTGTCTGTGCAAACAAGGTTTGGAACTGGGGACTGGCGAATAGATTCGACGGGGAGAGGATGGGGAGCGGGGGTTGGGGGCAGGGGGGCTAAAAGTGAAAAAAAAAACACGAACGCCAAGCAGCAGCCGAAAGCGCGCTCGGGATCCCCTTAAATCGCTCGCCTTGGTATCTCCCAAGTCGATTTGTAGAACTTGAGAGGAAAAAGAGGAACAGAGCGAGCGAGAGGCACGCACGTAGGCACGCACGCACCACATCCCTCTCACCATCCCTTTCGGCGTGGTGTAAATGCGGCGGGTACAAAAAAGGTCTCTTTTCGGTGGAGCGGGGGGGGGGGGGTAATAATTGGTCTCGCTCTGTTGCTGCAAAGTGGAGGCGCCGGATGGTATCCCACCCACAGACTTTGCAGCACTAACTGTAAAAACTACTTAACATTCAAGGCACCTTGCAAATTCGCTCCATCATCAGATGGCATCTATTGCTTGTTCGGTTCTTTTTAAATACTGCGCATTTGGTACTTCTCTTTTTAGCCCTGAGAATTGTAGGTCTCCCTTGTTCTATTGGAACCAGTCCAAGGGTGCCATATGCGGGGGAGGGGGGGAGTAATAAACCAGAGATGGGTGCAGAAGAGATGCCTTGTTCCTAGATCTGAGTTTCTCCTGTTCAGACAGATGCGCTTCTCGTAGCTCACTAAGGTAAAGAGACAGTTTCATTTGGGTTCACGTATTTATATACTTACCGGATTCATCTCAAGTACCGACAAGGGCTGACAAAAAGTAAAACAATTCACCGTTTTGGTCTGTAAACAATAGGCCCCAAACCTATTTTTATTAGATGAAATATATATTTTAAAAAAACAACCAGGAAAGTATGCATCATTTGAGTCCCCACCTACAGCCTGCAGTGAAGCAGTCTAAGAACAGGGAGAGAAACTCGTTTATCAGAAGTTCTGTTGAGCTCCAAGTTCATCCTCCGAGAATCATGGTGGTGTCCTCTCCTATTTTTCCATGCATTGGTACCCACTCAAGTGTGCACCTATTTATATATTATTAGGCAGTCTTGGGACATTACCACATCAACATCAGGTTTGAAACTATTAAATACTGTTCACACAATGCTATATCAGACATGCTTAACTTGAATGTGCATTCCTGCCAATATTAGATTTTGCATTTGCATTGGAGAGACAATTGAAATGCTGATGTGGGGTTTTCATTTGTGAAGATGGCATTAGATGGACTAGCACTTGTGCAAAAGGTTCTTGTGCAAATCATTCAACACTGGTACTTAATGACTGTGCACCAATCCTCTTGAAGTTTTGAGGCACGTAGAAAAAAAAAGATTCGAGCCCACAGTAAAGGGAAAATATTCCATGCTATTGGGCCTCTCTTCTGCACCAATTAATGTGCTGATAAATTGTGTGGAGGCATTCAAAGGTGTTCTCCCCTTTATTATGACAAAATGCTACAATTAAATTGAAGTCTCTTTTGGCTCAAATAAAATAAGTCTATTACCAATTTATTTACACAGGAGAAATGGTTAGTTTTCACAGATAATAAAGTACTATCTTGATCCATCAGTCCGTATAAAGCAATTGGCCATTTTCATGCCAAAAATTATACTATTATCTACAGTACCTGCTGCCAAAAAGAGATACTTTCAGTCATCTGAGGGGACAGGACAAAGAGCCTCTTAGATTCAATTTCTCACCAAAAACAGATGTCTTGTACTATCTAATCTTACTGTTGGCAGTTTGGTTGGTGCACATGTATTACAATCTCTGTGTGCTGGGTAGAAACTTTGTGTATTAGTGAGTGCTTGTGTAACCCCATAACAGTCATCTTAACCCAACTAGGATCTTGCCCAACTGCCAGCTAAGTCTTGCAAAAAAAGAAAAGAAAACATAAATGGGGCCCTGAGGCTGCAACCGTCTTCTGCCTTACCCAGCAAACATTTGTCAATATAGCCACTGTTTAGTCCGTATGCTGGAAAATTATTATTTTTTAAAGTTTCTATTCATTTGTTGATTGCACCTTTGTTTGTTGAATGCATGACTTCCTTTTGGGATAGATGTTTAAGCACGATTAAAAAGTGCAGTGGTAAAATATGTGGATTATGGTATATTCATTTGATGTCTCAGACAATTTGTGAAGGCCTTTGTTCTTGAGTAAAATATTCAAAATCCTTGTCACTGAACTGGAACTACAAATAATGATAATCGTTCACACTATATAGGTCAGATGTCAAACTCGTGGCCCGCGGGCCGGATGCGTCACGTGCTAGCCCTGCCCCCACCCAGTTTAGCGAAAGGGGAAGTCCCAATAAGTCATGTGACACTGCCGTGACGAGATGAGTTTTACACTGACAGGTGGAAGAAGTGATAGTCTAAAGTGGAAGACTTCTGGGTAATTTCATTTTTTAAAATGAAAATCCATTGGAAGAAACTATAATCCTACTGGCAACAAATAATACAATACAACTTCATGTTATAATATACTGTAAACTAATAACTAAAATTTCCATACATATTACAAACTAAGACATTACATTACAATGTCTTAGTAACAGACTGAGATAAGGATTTAGTGCAGCATAGCAGAGCATTAAAAATAGCTAAACTTCATGTCTGGTAATAATTTTATTGCAACCCAAAGGTCACATAAGAAGAAGTGAGTTTTTTTAATTAATAAGAGAATTGCTTAACAACACATTTTTTTCTTTTCTTTTGATTGTTTCTATGCGTTAACATTTTTTACTTTCTTTACAAAATGACCACACAAGTGGAATCCGAACAGGCAATCAACCAAAATACTACCAGGTCATTCTTTATAATATGTGGAACTGTTAAGGGATGTTATTGAATCAAGACAAGATTGTACATGTGGAAATCATTAGCCAAGATCAGATTCTGAGGACCTGGAAAGAGACTACTGTACAGACCAGTTTAATATGTTTAAAGCAGGCTTTAGTCAGTTCCCTAAATTTATAAATAGAGAAATAGCTATTCAATCAGAAACATCTGTAAAGTATTTTTTATACTTTTGAGTACCTGTGTAGTAACTTTCAAGTATCATTTGGTTCCCACTTATGGAGACGTGGTTGGAAGAGTCACAGAAGCAAGTATTTTATGTAAAAGTTTCTGTTTTGGGAACAGCTTTCCCTTTCTAAAGCAAAGAAAACCCCACTCATATGTCCTTCCAAAAGCATGTTTTGGAAGGCTTTAAGATTGATTGATATTAGAATCACGTGTGGGTTATTGTCATATAAAATGTTTACATTTTAAATAGCTTTTTACTGATAACTTGCTTTGTCAAGTTACTACCATTACTCTGATACACACTACTGGAGCCATTCAGAATGAAGCACTTTATCCATAACTTAAATACAATTAAGCTTTATGAAATGTTTGCAGTACTACTAATATTATTAATAATATGACATGCAAGCTGTATTTGCTTGTAACAGATGCAAGCTGTATTTGCTTGTAGTCTATAATATGTGAACAAGTGAATATCTATTTTATGGCAGAACTAGATGTGATTTCAAAAACAAATTACAAAAATCAGTACATACTTCTAATGTATAAGTGGTGCTTGAAGTCATTCCTCTAGGAAATCTCTATTTCAGCCTGATGAACAGCAAGTATTGTTTACGAACAAGATACAAGAAATCCAATAGGACTGAGATGTTCTTTCTCCCCATTGACATTAAACACAAGTAGAAAAAGCAATTCTGCACTTATTGTTCCCATCTCTCAACATTTTAGTAACTACGGTAATAATATAGTAATTTGCCATCAGATTTTTAAGCTGTGGAAGAAATAGCAACAAACTAGTAGTAAGGGTCCTTGTATGGACCACAACCTCATTGGTTCATCTACTGATAGCTATTGATTGAACATGCTGTTCATGACAGTCTTTGTAAATAAGAGTTAACAATCTTTCATGTTAACTCTTTCATGAGGTAAGTTATGTCATGATTACTAAACTCCAAATGTGCCTATTGGTCCAGAAAATGTGCCCAAGTGTGATCTAGGCCATTTGTTAAAGGTTTGTATAGCTTTACTGTTCGTTCTCTTTGTTCTCTTCACAAAGCATCTTTTTAGTAGGTCAAGATAGATATTTTTTTCCATCTGCTTGAACAACCTGTACCATGAATGATGCTAACGAAGCACTGGGAATAAGAAATAAAGAGGAGGACACTGGTGAACTTTTAATTTCCCATTAAATGTTTTCCATAGTTTTGCAGAATAAGAAGCATTTCACTATTGCAAATTTAAGTTCCTGTTTTTAAACAGAAGGAAACTGTAACCATCTTGAAAAAAAGTGAAGGTCATATTTGGGACTGAAACAAATTCTTCATACACCACACTCCCCTAAGCAAAGGAAGTTGACCTTGCATTTAATTGTGCAGGGACCGATTCCACTATCATCATAATATTATATAAAAGTCTGGAAAAGAAATATTACTATACCAATGATCCATGAATGAGCCATAAATTGTAAAGACACACACACACACACACACTATATCGATTGCTATAACATTTAATAAGTTTGTGCAGCCTTCAGTAGTTTTCAATTCTAAACCACAGAAGCTAACTTTCACCAGAGCTTCTATAGAAGCACTGTATTTTTTAGCAAGTTCTATTAGCCAGTCAGTTTAACAACAAACAATCTAAGAACACTGAGCTGTGTTTTTTTTAATTTGTACAATGTTTTGCCCCCAATCGAAATTTATTTATTTTATTTTATTTATTTATTTATTTATTTGATTTGTCAATTGTTTACAAGATAATAAGTATAAGTGTATACATAGTTGTGAATACATGAAATGGGTACATATAAGAAAAATAAAAGAGGAATAAGAGAAACAATAGGACAGGGACGGTAGGCACGATGGTGCGCTTATGCACGCCCCCTACAGACCTCTTAGGAAAGGGGTGAGGTCAATGGTAG